TAGGTGATGTTTGCTGTACACTTTCAGGTCTTCCAGTGACCATTAGACTGTTGGACCCTCCACTCCATGAGTTCCTTCCTGAAGGCGACCTGGAAGAGATTGTCAAAGGACTGACTGCAGAGACTGGAATGAGTGAAGATGAAGTGTTCTCAAGAATTGAGAAACTCTCAGAAGTTAACCCAATGCTCGGTTTTCGCGGTTGCAGGTATGATATAACTATGCCATTGCCATTGCCAACTTTTTTCAAATGGTTTCTGATTGTCTCTGAACACGTAGGCTCGGGATCTCGTACCCGGAGCTCACGGAAATGCAAGCTCGTGCAATCTTTCAGGCTGCTATCTCAATGAGCAATCAAGGAATTAAAGTTCTGCCTGAGATAATGGTTCCATTGGTTGGAACACCACAAGTATGAACTGTTTCTTTCTGTCATTAACGCTATAATGGACACACAAAGTAATTTTTCTTTCCCGAGAGTATATGTCTTATCTAGTTGAGCTTTACGTGATTCTTGTGCATATTCTATATTTAGGAATTAAAACATAGCATGGCAGCTAAACTGGAAGAAGAAATGCAACATTTCTGTACAATAATGGCATTTTTCATGGCAGGAACTTAGACATCAAGTCACCTCGATTCGTGGCGTCGCCGAGAAGGTGTTCTCGGAGATGGGTTCCTCCTTAAATTACAAAATGGGAACCATGATTGAAATTCCTAGAGCTGCTCTTGTTGCAGATGAGGTATTTTACCGGTAGTCCTTAACAATAATGTGTTTTAACATTTTAGATCCCACCGCGGTTGGTGAGGAGAATGAAACATTTTTTATAAGGGCGTGGAAATCTCTCCCTAGCAAACGTGTTTTAAAATCCTTGAGGAGAAGTCCAAAAAGGGAAGCCCAAAGAGGACAATATTTGCTAACGATGGCCTTGGGCTGTTACAAATGGTATTATAACCAGACACCGAGCAGTGTGCTAGTGAGGACGCTAGGTCCTGAAGGGGGGTAGATCGTGAAATCCCACATCGGTTGGGGAGGTGAACGAAGCATTCTTTACAGGGGTGTGGAAACTTCTCCCTAGCAGATGCATTTTAAAAACCTTGAGGGGAAGCCCGAAAGGGAAATCCCAAAGAGGACAATATCTGCTAGCGGTGGGCTTGGGTTGTAACAAATGGTACCAGAGCCAGACATCGGGCAGTGTGCCAGTGAGGATGCTCGGCCTCAAAGCGGGGTGGATTGTGAGATCTCACATCGGTTAGGGAGAAGAACGAGAAAAATCTTTATAAGGGTGTGAAAAGCTCTCCCTAGCAAATGCGTTTTAAAAACCTTGAGGGGAAGTCCGAAAGGAAAAGCCCAAAAAGGACAATATCTACTAGCGGTGGGCTTGAGCTGTTACAAATGGTACTAGAGCTAGACACCGGGTTGTGTGCCAGCAAGGACGCTGGGCCTCGAAGGGGGGTGGATTGTGAGATCCCACATCGGTTGGTTGGAGAGAAGAACGAAACATTCTTTATAAGGGTGTGGAGACCTCTTCCTAACGTACGCGTTTAAAAAGCTTACAGGGGAAGTCCGAAAGGGAAAGCCCAAAGAGGAACTAAGTGGCTATCACATGAAATTCAATAGATACACATGCAAAAAGAAACGAGTAGAGGGAGTAATAAGTTAAACAAAATACCATAAGGGTCTAACAGCAAAATGGAAGAACATACTCAATAGATTGTGCTGCTGTTTGACTGACAGATAGCAAAGGAAGCAGAGTTCTTCTCATTTGGAACCAATGATCTTACACAAATGACTTTCGGATACAGTAGAGATGATGTGGGCAAGTTTCTTCCTATTTATATAGCCAAAGGAATTCTGCAAAATGACCCTTTTGAGGTCAGTGCCATTTTTCAATACTTTTCTTCAACAAAACTTAGGCCTACAAATGAACTGAATATGTATTTGCTTGGCGGCAGGTTCTTGACCAGAAAGGAGTTGGGCAGCTGATCAAGCTAGCCACAGAAAAAGGGAGGGCAGCCAGGCCAAATTTGAAGGTAAATTATCCTTTAACACCAATAACATCCCATTCTTTTAAAGCTATTTGGAAGATTCATCATGAGAAAGAGTATTAAAAACAGGTTGGAATCTGTGGAGAACATGGTGGAGAGCCTTCATCTGTTGCATTCTTTGCAGAGGCTGGACTTGACTATGTTTCCTGTTCTCCTTTCAGGTTAGCTGTTAATTTCATCGAATTGAATCCGAAACTCGGGTAACTCGTAAACTTGGTAATATTTGCAAAACAAAGCACGGAATCTAGCTGCAAAAATGCTCGAATTCAACCGTTAGATCGTATATTCATAACTGCAAAATATAACAAATTAAATGCACATACTACACACTCTCGGAACTCCGAGATTATAAACACTGGTGGAAAGAAATATGTAATGGCTTAAGCCTACAGCTGACAAATATTGTTCTCTTTAGGCTTTCCTTCAAGGTTTTGAAAATGCGTCTATTAGTGAGGGATTTCCACACCCTTATAAAAAATGTTTCGTTTCCCTCTCCAACCAATATAGGATCTCACAATTCACCCTTTTGGGGCCAGCGTCTTCGCTGTCTTCTCTCCCATCGATGTGGAATCTCACAATCCACTCCTCTTCGATATCAATTTGGGAGAAGAACGAATGCCAACGAGGACGTTGGCCAGATCCCACATTGGTTGGAGAGATAAATGAAACTTTTTTTTTATAAGAGTGGAAACTCTCCTTAGTAGATACGTTTTAAAAATCTTGAAGGAAAGTCCAAAGAGAACAATATCTACTAGCTGGGGACTTGGGCCGTTACAAAGTATACGTTAAAAAGTTTTCGTTTCATAAGTGATATGAAATTTTGTTCATACTATCTTCGTTCATTGTCGGGCAAAACAAGCGTTTAAGAACCATGTCGGCCTATGAAATACGACAATACGTCATATAACGTGTTAAATGTTGAACAAAACGAGTATTTATGAAATGAGTGGCTATTTGTTCTCTAATTTTTGCAGAGTTCCAGTGGCAAGATTGGCTGCTGCTCAAGTTGCTGTTTAAGAGAGAGAGATTGAAATTTGGATATAAGTTTGTGGATTTGTAAATAAGAATTGATTGGTTGAATAAAGGAAGATCAAAAGGGAGACCTTCAAAGGTATTGAAAGCATAGAAAATATTGTATAAATGAATTACTTTCTTGTTTAAATGTATAGAAATATTGTATTAAAAAAAATTAAAATATTATGTAAATATAAAGAAATGGTTAAAAAATGTTTTTTTCTCAGTTTGTTCTTAAAAAAAAAAAAACATTTTTAATCTCAAAACTTTTATAAAAGTAACAATCTTTCTTTCTTTTTTTTTTTTTTTTTGTTTTTAATTTGTAATAATTTAATTTTTGTATTTTAATATTTATAATAATTAAGTTGATTTTTAAATTTAGTTTTTATATTTTTATATTTTAAAATAATTTAGCTATTTATTTTAGTAATATTTTAAAATTTTATATGAAGATTTACCCACTTATGTATATCTTTTGACTCTATTAAAAAATTAAATTAGTTAATTTTGACATTTTAATTATAATATTTAAATTAAAAAATTTTAAATATTAAAAAATTAAAACGAAAAATTATTAGTGGAGAATTTGATACTTGCAAAAATAAACGTAGAATTTTGCGGGAAATAATATATTAAAATAATATATATATATATATATATATATATTCCTTATTCGTTTCTCTCTCTTTCCTCCTTCTCCCGCCTTCTCCCGCCTTTCATCATCGGTCAATGCAGACGTCCACTAAAGACGTTTTGGTGAACCGATTACTTGAAAAATTCAATCAATCTAACCCAACTTTTGAGTTATTCGCCAATGAATTCGAAAATGGGGATCGAAAGCTACGTTGTGGTGCATAACGTAGCCAAAATGTACACCGTTGGTACCTTGGCCTGAAGTGCCATCGCCTTCGGTGCATCGGAGCTCATCCTCGTCGGCTGTTGGGATTTTAACGCCTTTGGTAACCATGATTCCACTTCTCACCGCCGGCTCCGCCATTTTCACTCCCTTCTCGACGCCCAAAGTTTTCTCGAGGTTATGCCCTCTTTGTTTCTTCCCTTAACTAGTCTCAATTTGACAATAGGTTAGTTTTGAAATTTGAATTGCCTTCTTCTGTTCTGTAGGAGGAGGATTGAGATATATGTGCCGTGGAGATCCTTGACAACGCCTGTGGCTGTCAAAAATCGCTTTTCTTCTTGGCAACGAGGTTGGTTGGTTGTTCGTTTGCATCTTATTGGCCTTTCATTGATGGTGATCCCTACATGCTTGTGCTGGAATTGTCTTTTTAATTGCAATTCTTAATCATTGATTAGAAATAGGAATTGGTTAATGTAATGTCTTTGTTGTTTGATCTGTACTTAATCCATTGGCAGGGAATTTTACGCTGTAGCTTATTGAATTGATAGGGTTATTTTCTATATGCTGAAGTCGGTTCACAAGTTCCTTACTAATTCCATTGATAGATATGACTTAAAAGGACTTTTTGTCTCCTCGGGTCCATCTTGAGGTGGGTAAGC